ACACACACACACACACACACACACACACGCTCGCAATCAAAATAATTATATATATATATATATATCTAAATTGAAATGTGTGTGTGTGTGTATAAATAACAATTCTTAATTTTAATTATATTATTTAATGCTCAAACCCTGATTGTCTTAATTTCGAGTAACACCTCCTCGTATTCCTTCTGTTAACACCAAGATTGCACTCGGTCCAATCCCCGGTCCTTTGGATTAAATTCCAAGGCCGAAAATAAGGGCATCGAACGCACTGGCCCCTACTAGGATAGAAGCGTGCCCTTAAGGCACACTGACCTAGTTCCCGGCCTTTAGCCTGTGCGTTTGCCTCGAACGGCACTCAGCGGAGTGTCGATCTCGAGAGAGGCTTCCACTTCGTCCTCCCTCGAACCCCCGGCTCTACCAAGTGGCCAAAGGGCGAAGCGAAGTGCTTCCCGTTGAGTCGGTCCCTCCCCTTAGCTCCCTTGCGGTCCGGAGCTGGGACTGACGATACGGCGTTTCAGTTCGCGTTACGTTCACCCCCTCAGGTTCCATGCATGCGGAACCTCGGACGTAACAGAGCTAAAGGAATTATTTTCGAACTCTGAACAAGTCACTGAATTTGTCCAATTACAAGATTCAATTATCCGCATAAAAATAGATAAAAAGCGGAAAGTCCAGTATTATTCTGTTATCGGGAGATTATTCCTGAATTATTTAAGTTAATTAAAAGAGTGTAAAGGCCTGAATGAAAGATTACTAAGAGAATGTATGGGAAACCGAACAGACAGGGTTCTTGAACAGACCCGAAACTCGGGAGATGGAGGCAGCCATATTCCACTTCAGTCGCAGCAGGACCGCCACAGAGAACGGACGAACGAAACGGCGCGGCTCAAGTTAAGTCTTTGTTTCGACACCGAGTACTAAAAGCGCGTAATAAAACGTGACTACGGGTGGGAATAATTATAAAGTAAACCGCCAATTGCGGATTTGTCGCGAAATACGCGAATTTAATATTTTTACCCGGTTTTACGTAAAGAGATCGCGCGAAATCGGTAAGACGCGTCGTAATTAAATCCGGAAGTATTTGCCACGCTATTTAGGAATATCGCGAAGTGCGAAAGCGTGAAGAGAAATAGATTAGCCAAAGTTAACGCGAGATTCAAGTGCGTAGTAGGCTGACGCAATATTGCGTCACTAGAATAGGCAGCCATTTTGTACAGCAGCCATCTTGTATCGCTAAGAGCGACACGACGCGACATATCGCGTGACCTAGAGTCAGAAAGAGAGCGAGCTATAATAGGAAACGAGTGAATGAGCGAGTGAATGAGTGAATGAGAGGACAAAGGCCATTATTTAAAAAGTTGTTACAAGTGTGAATAAATAATTATCTAGTGTTGCCAAAGTGCCATTGCGTGATTATTCCGCAAAAATTACTTCTCCAAAAATAATTTACAACAACACTCAGCGAGCAACGACACCAGTCTTACACGACGAAGGGACCTCGCTCAAAGGAACAAAAGAAGGACAGGAAGGACGTAAGAGGACAAGACAGCCATCCCATTCCTACAAAGCCCAGCAGTTTGCTTAACCGACGACGGCATTATACCTTCTTAGTTAAGGGTCAAACTAAGTGGCAACCGTTAAGTAGTAAGTCAGCAAGCACGCTACTTAATTAATTCAATTATTTGATACAGTTACTAGGTCCTCTGAATGAATTAACACATAAATCCGGTCACAACCTAAACTGGTTAGGTTGTGACCGGATCACTATGTCAGATCCTTGCGATCTCGGGTGTTCCGTTATCTATATAATTAATTCGTGTTATTTCATAGGTAAAATGCCTTACCTTTCAGTCGCCACTCTGTTTTCCCATTTAACAGAGAAAGATGTTGAATCCAGGTTGTACCATGGAATCGGGCTCAGCACGCGCGACATCCCCTTTTTGGTGACTTCCTTCTACGCCTTGCTTCGATTTGCCCTTTAGTCGAGATGTCTGGTGTGCCGGAAACGTCTCCGTCGAAGTGCGGCGATGTATAACTATATATGGTTATGGTGGTGTTCGCGAAATAACTACGCGTGGGGCTCGTTTGGTGTAACAACTTACAGAATGTTTATTAAAACAACACCAACAATTTATTTATTCGGCCCGCATTCACACAACTCAATCACTCACACTAGATTCACACTATAAGACTATCTCTCCTTTGTTACGACGTCTCCCTCTAACCTTCGTTGTCGCGTCGCGTCGCACTCACGACGAAATGGCCGTTAAACAAAATGGCTGCCCGACAAGGTGGCGTGATATTTCGTCACCTACTGCGCACAACGAGTTGCTGGGGTTATGACCTCGTTAATACCGCGCTAATTACTCGCGTCGGTTATCCGGTAGCCGTGCCGCGCACGTATTATTACCGATTTGGGCGTTTACTCGCCAATTTCCGCGCTGTCGCGGTCATTAAGGGATATTTTCCCTATTACGCGATTTACACACTTTATTCCGCGTTACGCGTCGTCTAATTACAAACTAGCAACGATACGGTATATCGTGATACCTGTTTTGTACCGAATTACGCTTTATGATGCAATCTCGCAAGCCGCGTGGTTCGACACGTCCGTCCTCTTCGAACGTCTCATAACG